CCCCCACACACACACACACACACCAGACACATCTCGGTAGCTGAGTTGAAGATGACGATCTGAAGATTTAGTTTTAGTTTAATTTTGTTCTTAACGTTTTAAATAGGTCTTGTTGAAAAAGATTGCATCATTGACAGTTGGGATGTTGAGTTGTAGCCTGGCTCTGTGAGAACTGCTTTGACATAAAATAACACTTTTTTCACTCTTGACAATCATTTGCATTATTCTTATTTTTTTAACCAGCATCCATGATCAGTGAGTTGATGACCATTATAAAACATACAGAAACATACTGTCACATCCTGAGCCTGATGGTCTTTTTCCAGCTGTTCTTGAATGCAACACCTATTTTCTCAGCTCTCAGCTTACAGTTTGTTGTTGTTTCAGTTGAAACCTTCCAGCTTTTTTTTCTCCTGTGATTCTGACCCTGACTTTTGTGTTTTGACCCTGTCTTCATCTTTCCCCACTTCTGTAAGTCTTGGATGTATTTGCCATTCTGATACCCAAGCCTGGCCTGTTTAAGTATTTGTCTCTTGAAATCATTTTATGTGGACTTGTTTGTGGGTTTAAATTATTACATGAGTTTTTTGTGTCACAACTACAGATTTTGGATTGTGATTTGAGTTCTTGGATTTGAGATTTAATGACCTTGTGAATGCTACTAACCTTTTTAACCTGCCCCTCCTTAGTTGTTTTCTCTGGAAGCTTTCATCTCCCCACCTTCGTTCACCTTATTCTGTCTCTCCCAACTTCTCACCTCCTATCTTACATGACCTCTGCCTTTCAGCTGGACTTTTCTCTCTTTCTTGCCAACCTGCAAATAAGCTTCCCTTCATTCACCTGATCCTCCTGGTGGTTATTGCTCATAAGTCTGCACTTGTACCTCCACCATGATCACTCTTTAGAACTTAAGCAGTCGCCTCGCAGCTTCATTTGTTTCTTTGGACTTAAAAAACAAAACACTTMTTACATTTTTTCTAAAAAGACAGAAATTAACCATTCTGCCTCTTACAAACACACTGCAGAGTTTTCTGCCTGAGTTGTGTCTCACCTTTTTATCCTTTTTGAATAATTCTTGTTGTCAGGTTGTTCTTTTGGATCATCCAGTGCAAAACCTTGATGCAAGACCATAAATGAAAGTTTGAACTGTGAAGACATGGTAAGTTGTCCCAAATTTTTGAAAAGTCTAACCCTGAGTGTTCAACCTTCAGGACCACAACCTCATTTATTTGCCAAAGTAACAATTTTTCTTTTGTCTCCTGACTAGAAAGCAGGTGTGAAAGCAAATTAATTTAAAGGGTCAGCTAGTGTTTTGGCCTAATTAGAGCAACATTTTTCTTAGTAATGCTGCTGAGATTACATTTTAAAAAGTAGCACAATGATGAGAGATTTGGACGTTTTAAGGTGTACCTTTTTTAATATCAAAGGTGTTGAAAACTGTTTACTGATGTTCCAAAATGTTACAATGCTTCACCCTTAAATTATTACACTGAAGGAGAAAAAAATAAATGTATAAATTTTATTTATTTCTTTCCCAAAATTCTCAAACATAGGAGAACATAAAATTGAATAAAAACAGACCATTGCACAAACTGGTAATTTCTCTAAAAGCTCTATTTAGATCTGAGACATTCAGTAACAAAACATTGCACACAAATAATACAAAGTGTGCAGTTTGTTAAGTGAACACAATTTGATAAATGACACTGAACTTCAAACTACAGGYCTTAATCTAAGCTTTATAATTAAATACTTTTGTTCACAGAGCAACAGCTTGTAGAAAGTATTTTACTGTTTATATACTATATTTAATTTGTGTTTTTATACAACTCCATTTAATACWGGCAGGTTGAGTTTCCCACTTTATAACACAGAGTCTAAATCAGTTAAATTATAATACAATTCKTATCATCGGATTCAGTAAATAACAAGATGCCTTTTAGTAAAAGTTTATCTCTAATTCARCACCACCAACATTTAGATTTTTTTTCAAATTCAGACACTTATCTTACCTTTTCAGTCAGGGCTACCCGGAGTTCCTGCTGAGATTAGGTTGGTTCATGTTCTGCTGAGGGCATTTGGCTATCACAGCTGGAAATCTCTGCTATGTTGTAGTCCAGATAACCAAACCTGATAATTTCTGAGCATCTTGAGACCCAGACAAGACCAGGACCTTAAGGGGCTGAAACCTAATTGATACTAACACCAGATGAACACGTAATAAAGCAATAGCACCTCGTCTGCAAGAGTCAGAAAAAAATACACAATTCACACTTTTATTTATTTATTAACCTTTCCAATCAATGTAGTACACATGAATGATTCTTAATCATTTTTCCTGGGATTTCTCCTTACATAGACCAAGAGAAAAGTTGCAGCCACTYCCTCCTTAGCCATGTGCCCATTCATACATATTTGCACATTGCTTATTTATCAGTTATTTATTGTTTTTAAATTCCAGATTTTTTTTTACTTATAAAAGCTAACAATCACCTTATGAACCTCTGTCCTGTTTCCTATTTCCCAATTTTTGTAAAAGCTTTTAATTTAATGTGAAAAAAAAAAGCTGAAGAATCAAACACACTCTTAATACTTAACACTTAATGGGATAATCACCCAAAAACATTTTGTTTGATCAGTCTGAGTCTAAAAACTTTGACAATTCATAATKTTTTATCATCTTTTTTGTGAATATTTTTTCTTTCACTTGATGATGACCAAAGTCAATATTTAACATCAATAAACTTTACTTAAAATGTTCTGAAGTTTACATTTATATATTTTTTAACGAGTGAAACCTCATCTTCCTCATGTTCTACAGACCTTATAGCTTGACTCCTTTATAGGAAACTGCTGTTTGATTCACCACTGACTGTCTACAGTAGCAAATGTTCAAATGTCTTCTACACGACTCCACATCAAAACAGACAAAAAGATTTTTTTCTTCACAAACTCTACCTTCACTAATAGAGCCTGCATATCATGGTCACACCCCCCATCAACAAAACAAAAAATAAAATAAAAGGAAATAAGTAAATAAAAAAGTGAGCTCAGCTGCAGTACATGGAGCTGCTAGATCAGCAGAAAATCGATCAGCTCTTAACACAACAAAATCAATCAGACTGTCAGGCTGCCAAGGCTCAGAGATGTGCTCAGCTGGACTGACAGGAGGACATCTATAGCTGCTACAATAAATTGCAACAACCACAGCTTCACAGTAARAGTGCTCATATATCAATTCATGATTGGTATCCCCTGCTCCTAKCAGATGATTCCTGATTATGAGACAGGAGGAAGAAATTAATTCATCCAGAGAAAGCTCTCAAATGTCAATGGAATGTCAGGTTTTTAAGCTGTAAACAACTGAAAAGAATGTGAAGGGAGAAAAAGAAAAGTACTTTAAGCTGACAGTAAATTAAAATTGAACTAGAATAGTGTGCTTTTGAATACCAATAAATGTCTTGTATAAAAACAGATAGTTGCTTAGCRTTTTGTCTCAAGAGGTAAACCAATACAATAAAGACATGTTTTTGATGAGCTTCATAATCAGAACTGATTATCCAACCAGTCAAAAATTTTCACATGAAAAAAGTTCTTATTTAAATATTTTTTGTTTGTCACAATCTTCTAACTCTTAAATCTCTTTCAAGGCCTTCCAGTACTTAGCAACAATGTGATTTGAACTAAAACATTTAACTATTTTCTTTGCYATTTCTCAGTTATTCCAGATTTTACTGAGCGACATTTTCATGCAGCATGTTGGTGGATAGGTTTCTGTGCATAATCGTAAAGGTGTACAACTGGGGGGTAAGAAACAAAGCTCATCTGAGCCAAGCTTTCCCAGAAGAGATGACAAGAAGCTGTTTGTTGTGCACTAACCTGCACCAACCCACAAAATGATGGATGGATGCAGTTCAGTATCCCTAGGGAATCACATCAATTCAGTAAGAACAAAGAAAGATTGTGCATCCAGGCCATAGAAAAAAACATATATAATAAAAAAATGAGATTGGTCTCTTAAATGTCTTAAAGTTTCTGGTGCACCTCTTTTATTTTGACAAACAAATAAACAAACAAGCAAACAAACAAAAAGTCATCCGTGCACATTCATACAGTATGTCTGTTAGCAAAATGTCATTTGGACCACTGGACAGATTTCAATGAAACTGTCGTAAAATCACAACTAGCCATACATCTAAACCATGAGTGGTCAGTCCTGGTCCTGACAGGCCTCTATCCTGTATGTTTTACTTATATCTCTGCTCCAACACACCTGGTTTGAATGAATGGATTCACATGAAATTGTGCCCAACAACTCTTTCAAGAAATGACCAAAATGGAAACAACTCTGAATTAACATCAGCTAAATTCAGTATGTTTTCTGCTTATATCCAACCAAAAATTACAACTGCTATCCAAAAGTATTGTTTGAAATTCTTGTTTGGGTCCACCAAATACATCGGTCCCTTTTTAGAAGCCAGTGTCTCAGTCAGCGTGTAAAAACACTGCACCTCTGCAGCATAGAGTGGATGAATCTTCAGGGTAAACAACCTACAAAGTTGCAAAGTAAGGGACAACATCCTGAGCAGCAAAGGTCGGTGTCTTGAAATAATTTAATAAATATTTTTGTGCACCAATCACACACATTGCAAAACAAACTGATGAGGCAGCAGCTGACTAACCAGGAGAGGGTCGAGTGGAGAGCTGGTGTCAGGACACAGACATGAGGCAAAAAAAAATACAATAAACATTAAACCTAACAAGGAACGACTGACACAATCACCTTCTCGCTACAGTGTCTGTCCTATGATGTCATCAAATCTTTTTTCATTTATTCATTTATTTATTTCATTTCTTTAAAAAACAACACTATTTATGTAAAATAAAAAAACACAAATCACAAATAAAATGAAAGGCGACAAAAAGAAGAAAAAAAAATCTTATAATGTCTGCACCTTTTTTTATCAAAAAAATTTAAACAATAATGATCAACAAACAAAACAAACAAAACAAAAACAAAAACAAAAAACAGCCTAAAATCCTTAATAAATCTCAAGGGAACTTGGGATATTTGTAACGGTTGAAAACAAAGATCTAAACAATGCTGCAACAAAACCATGGTAAAGTTTGTCAAGATGCAGCTTATATTTCTATTATTGAGATGTCTGTCACTGTATGTGCAGATACTACATTGAGTCATCTGTATACATATTTTTCTTGTTTTGCTAAAATGGTTTAGAAGTTTTGTGGCTTAAATATTACACACAAAACAGAACTGAAAATTAGTTAAACTTTACAATATTTTCAGAAAACCTAGAAAAGAAATGGTTATAAGCTCAACCTGGACTTTGTGGACATTATACTGTATGATCTGAATGCTCTTGGCAGGTAGAGGAGCCAATCAGTCTGAGGCAGCAGACACAGTTCTGATGCAGTGATGTTAATGCATTTGATTCTTAGTCATCATCAGGAGACATGTACCGTCAAGAAGCAGTTCTCCAATGCTAAATTAGTCCCTCAACATGCATGTGTAATTTTCTTTGGCAGGAGCTGCGACTGAAGGCTACTTAATCAATTGACTTACAAAATGCATCTCCAGTCACCAGATTTATAATTGCTTCTGGCCCATTATTGATTCACTGTCCTCTGGTACACTTCCCTTAGCTCAATGGGGGTCACCCTCAATCAAAAGCAAAATAATAATTATGACACTGTACTCAAAGGTAGAGGGGAAAAACAAGTAAAAAGAGGATAAATGTTACATCAGGACTAAGCTGAAGACTTCAGAAGAATTTGTGTTTACAGAAGTGTGAACACAGACAATTTTTATTTTGTTTTGGTGATGCCATGATGTAAATTGTATTCATTTCCTAGGCTGGACAGTCAAAAGCTTTACCAGTCATACACTGTCTGAACAGGAGTGCCTGTTTTATTTTTTTATTTTTTTATTGTGCCAATGTTTAATTTATTATATTTTTGGCAGGGTTCAAAATGTCTGCTTGTTCATATTAAGCCCTTTTGTAGTATTGTTCAAAATGTAACCATGGTTTTTCATCTACTTTAGGGTACCCTAGAAGCTCATCACTTGGTATAGTATAAGAAGTGTATACAAGTTGCCCACTACATTGGGGGAAATAAAGCAAATTCCATTGTGGCCTTTTTTGTGAAATCATTACAGCTGTGGTTTGTGATTCTGTGAAATAAATCCAATAGAGAAAAAATGTAACAGATATGTGAAAATACATCTTATGTCAGTGTTATTTTCTCAGCCAAAACCAGCTGAATTATGCTGTCTGTCACCTCAGATTGTATTTCAGTGTATTTTGTCGGTGTTTATTATTTATTATGTGACACCTGACTGAATACTCATGGCACATTTATGAAGTACCATTCAAGTAGTATTCAAAATGCAAAACCACCAGGCTGTCCCCTGGTCCCTATTTAGTCTACTGTATAGTGACTACAATGAAGTCAGTGATTGAATGAGAAAACATTTCAAACACTGCCTTGTCACACCAGGTTTCTGTTTCTAATCAACCCACCTGCAGTGTTTTTGTAATTACTCTTCTTTATAAATACAGTACACTCCAGAGGATTACTTTGTTTACTAGCTTGTCATTAGGCATGGATGGGTTTTCAGTGTCTACATATACCATAGTTTTTAAAATGCCGCTGTCAACACCATAAAATGTATACATGTTCCTATGGTTTAAATTCCATTTAATGAGATATAAGAAAACGTGCAGAGGTTTTCAAGTTATGTGTTTTGTCTGTGATGGACTTAGGACCTGTCCAGAGTCTACCCCGCCCCTCCAACAGTGACTGCTGGATATGGGCACCAGTGACCTCCATGACCCTGAAATGAAGAAATGGGTAAAAGATAATGGGTGAGTCTTCCAGTTATGAGGGACCAAGCAGTTAGATACAAGAGATTCCTTCCATGCTGTATAATCAGTCCTTAAGTTGGTTAGAAAGGTCTATTAATTACAACTAAACTCAAAACAGTAACTTAACAAAAGAGAAACAACTGCCACCTGACCAAGCACTGACATAAAACAGTTACTTCAGCATTTGGTCTAAACAAATTACATGTGTAGGGGAAAGCATAAGTGAACAGCAATAAATGCCTAAACAGAAAGCAAAATAATGGAACCTAAATTTCCCCACCCAGTCAGAGTCAAAGCAAATTTTTGGAYCACTGAAAGGTGATGATCTGTCCATTAAAAATATTGTCTGTTTGGAAATGTTTATGGTTGCAAAAAGCACAAGCAGTTGTGGTTACTTTATCAAAAACAAAACACCTGTCTCTTTTTTTTAACACAGCATTTGTTTACAAAGGCATAGGCCTATACAGCGGGTAAAATAAGTATTGAACACGTCAACATTTTTCTCAGGAAATATATTACTAGAGGTGCTAATGACATGAAATTTTCACCAGATGTCGGTAACAACGCAAGTGATCCATACGTACAAAGAAATCAAACCATAAATGTCCAGAAATGTGTTACGATGTGTGGTGGTGGAGGAGCGAACCCAGTTCCAGGC